TGGAGAAGATGATGCTGCCAGATGGCCCACAGACAGTGGGGTCGGTAGGAGATGTCGTGCTGCGGCACTTTAAGGAGCGGCGCGGATTCGAACGTTACAAGCAGTACTACTCGAAGCGGGAGGAAGCACAGAGTATCTTGAAAGACATGACAAGACGATCCTCCAACTTCGCAGGGTTTATTGATGTGAGCATTTCGACACCGGGTACCAATCATTGTCATGCTTATTAGATTGCAGAGAATCAAATACTCATCTGCTGACACGAAGAATCGCGTCGGTCTTAGCGAACTACTCATGGACCCTGTTCAACGCATTCCTCGCTACACCCTCCTGTTCCGCACGATGATCAAGCGCATGGCGCCGGGTGACACACAGCGCGCCAAACTCATCGAGGCTAACGAGATTGCAAGCAAGATCGCACAGGCCGACGTGGATGACGAAACGAAACGGGCAACCATCCTGAACTACATCGGCACGAGCGTCGAGGACTTCCCAGTCAACTTAATCTCGAATTCCCGACAGTTCATTGACTGCATCGACGTGCAGGACGTGATCGCAGAGACACCACTATCGCCGCTCGAAACGCTGCACTGCACGCTGTTTCTGTTTGACGATAAGCTAATGCTCGTGAAGCGCCCCGGGAACGGGGAGAAAACCGGGCGGAGTTTATCTGGTGTTGATCAGGCAGACAAGGTGAACAAAAGCGGGAAGCTCCTACCGTCTGCGTTGAAGAAGAGCGGCTTGAGTTGCAAAGGTGTATTCGACGTCTCCGACGTCGTAGCTACCGATGTCGGGGGTTGTGGTAAGTTCCCTCATCAACAATATCGATCGAGCTGACGGGATGGTGGCCAGATTTTCACTTGTATTTGGAGGTCCCACCACAAGATCAGACCGACCGATGGTCTGGCCGTCCATTCCGTGCCTTGTCTGTAGTATTCCCTCCTGCGCCTGTAGGCCTTAATCCTGTCCGCTCAGAGACGGAAAAGAAGCGCTTCTTGGAAAAGCTGTGGCATGTGCAGGCCAAGTACCGAACAAGAACCGGCAACTCTATAGCCCTTCGCGCGGAAGAGCGGGAGGTAGAATCGAAAGGCGGACGGGTCACGTTTGCGCGGACATACTATAACCTCTACCAACGAACTGCGTTTTTGCGAGAAACAAAGAAGGTAGAAATGATTACCCTCTTTGCGGTGCTCCGACTGATTCGCTGCTGCAGACCAAGGTTGTGGTCCACATCGACCCACTAGGCTCGTCAGATCCCATTCCCTTCGGCATAAATGCGCCACCGTATGTCTCAATACGCCTGCAGCCCATGGCAGGCGATCTGTCGCGCTACAGCGTGACCTCTAGCGACCCCAATGACGAAGGCGAAGAAGACATTGTCCAAACGCTTCGGGTTCCCGACCGGATTGTACATACCAGTGGGTATTTTTTGTTCTCACAATTCTAACAAGTTCCTGACATCCCATCATTGCGGCATAGTCCACCAGTATGGTCTCTTCAAATTCGGCACAGGCAAGCACTCCATACCCTCGACTCCCACGGCCTCGACGCGCTCGCGCGCCGCCATCTTCGGGCTCGACGTGATCTCGCGGAACCTCTTCGGCGCGCTGCCCGGCTCGTCGAAGGGCGACCTGTTCGGGGGCTCGATCAGCGGGCACCGCCGCACGAAGTCGTTCGTATCCCGCTCGTCGACGTACACGACCTCCGAGGGGAGTCTCATGCGGTTCTCGCACAGTTCCAAGTCGACCGTGACCGCGGCGACGAGCCTGTCGTCGAGCATGGACGAGGACTCGCTCGCGGGCAGCCGCTCGTCGTCGCGCTCGCGCAAGCTGCTGAAGAGGCGCAGCAAGTCGCCCATGAGCGCGGAGAGCTCGCCGCGGCGCGCGCGCTCGCAGCCGCAGTCGCGCGAGGTGTCGAGAGAGAGGGTGTCTGGGTACGCGAGCTCGGGCCGGGAGGACGACGAGGATACGGTGACGATGCCGCAGCCGGTGGAGGATATGGACGAGTCCGAGTGGGATCTCACGAGGCGGCTCGAGCTCGCGCGGCAGAACAGTCAGAATCAGCATGGGGGACCGCCGCTCACGCCGTCATGGGAGGAGCCGGTGGAGGAGACAATCTACGAAGGTAAGCGCATTGCTCTTTGGCACAAAGGCTTTGGATTCTGACTATCGCCTTTGTAGAGGAGCCACCACAAGGCATCCGCCCCTCCTCCCGCGCCTCGCGCACAACACGCCCCACCACGCCCGTCACCCGCCCGCAATCCACAGCGCCCACCGAGCCCGAGCGGCCCACGCGCCCGCACTCCGCCCTCTCGCACCGCTCCTCCACCTCCACCACGACACCCCACCCGCACCCGCGCGGGCCGCGCTCGCCCTCCCCCCTGCCCCCCTCGCCCACCGCAGATTCGCCGTTCCGCAGCTCGGACGAAATTGAGGCCGCGCTCGAGAACATGGGCCAGCTGCCCACAACACCCCAGCGCACGGCGTCGCCGCTGCCGCGGAGCAGGCGCCAGCCGTTCGAGCCGGCGGAGAACATGGTCGTGACGCCGAAGATGGCGGGCGCGCTGCCAAGGCTGGCGATGGGCAAGGTCGAGCCGCTGTCGATCAAGAAGGCGTCGACGTCGCCGACGAAGATGTCGCCCACGAAGAGCGTGGTGGAGACTACGCCGTTGCGGACCTCGGTGGAGAGTGCGTCGGTGCGGGCCTCGGTGGAGACTGTGTCGGTGCGCGGGGCTGTGGAGAGTGCGTCCGTGCGCGGGTCGGTGGAGACCGCGTCTGCGCGCGGGTCGGGGCTCGCTCAGACGCGGGTGAGCAAGGTAACAGCAGCATCAGCGTCGACGTCAACATCGGCGCCGTCGCCCGCGGAGTCGTCGGGGGGCGGGGACACAATGAACAGGCTCATCCGCAAAGCAGAAGCAACGAAGGTCGACGTACGTGCCGCCCACCCATGTCTCATTGAACTTCTATTGACGTCGTATGCGCGCAGATCAACTCCTCGCGCAAGGCCGTCAAGCGCATCCGGATGGACGCGGAGAAGCTGCAGGCAAGCCTCAAGAAGCTGGGCGAGGACGCGCCGCCGCGGCGCCCGCAGACGCCCCTGCGCGGCGTCGTGCGCACGCCGCAGAGCACGCAGTACAAGGTGCGCCCCATCCCATCTCCCACCTCCCTCCCCACCTCCCCCCTCTCCTTGCTCACAATGCCTTCGCCCTTCACCAGACGCGCGACGCGCAAGAGCGCATGGAAGAGCTGCACCAGGTCATCCAGCGGCGCGAGGGCGGGGGTGTGCTCGGGCGCACGCACTCCATATCCCAATTCGACTCTCCCCTGAGCCCCCGCACGCCGCCGCCGCCGCCGTCCGCCGCGCGCGCAGAGGCGGAGGAGCTGGCGCGGCAGATCGACGACGCGGCGGGGCGCGCGGACGGCGTGCTGCGGGGTGCGCTGGAGCACCATGACGCGCTGGGGCTCGACCTCGAGCGGCTCGCGGCGGATCTGGCCGAGGTGCGTCCTGTTTGCCCCTCCTGATTGGTGGTGAGGAGTGAATGAGTGCTGATGCTGGTGCGTGGGATGCAGAAGGCGGCGCTGCTGGAGAAGGCGCGTGCGGAGCTGCAGAATGCGCGGCGGCAGTGCGATCTCGTGAAGGACCTGCTCGCGGACACGACGGCGGAGAAGGAGATCATGTATGAGGTGCGTGCGGGCGTGCGGGCCGTTGCTTCTTTGTTTCCCTTTCTACTTTTCTTGCTGGTGGCTGACTGGACTGGGGCTGGATGGATGGACGCAGGCGTTCAACGAGGAGCTCGACAAGATGTACACGGAGGCGCAGCTGCCGGACGAGGAGGCGTGGACCGCGATGACGCGCGATCTGCGGCAGGCGAAGGCGGACCGCAATGCGTACCGGCAGGAGAACTCGTGCGTGCCGTCTCTTTCCCACTCTGCCCAATTCACCTTTCACCTCCCTGCTCTTCCTCGTTTCGCGCGTGCTGATAAGCTGCCCCCCCGCACAACACACAGGCACCTCAAGCGGCGCCTCGCGCAGACGGAGATGGAGAAAGAAGAGTGCGTGTGCTTTCCACGTGCGCGACCCGGGCTGACTGACTGAATGAATGCGGGTTTGGTTGTGGTTTTGGGTTTCCTGGAATAGATGGGGCGCGCTGCTGCGCGAGCACGGGCTCATACCGTAACATCCGAAGAACCGTGTTCTGCCCTGGCCCTGGCCCTGGCGGCGTCTTTCGCTTTCCCCTTTCTGCATCTTGCCCTTCTTGCCCATGCTTCCCCCATTGACACTCACCACGCATCACGCACCACATCACTCACCACGCACCACGCACCACGCACCACGCATCTCACACCATACCATCATCTCATGCATGTCGACTCCCTTCTTTCAATTGGCCATGGGCGCTGTGTACATATACGTATGGGTACGCATATGTAGCCATCTATCATCTATCTTCTATCTCCATATAATTTCTCGGATCTGTTCGCATTTTGCCCATGCATACATTCAAGATCCTTGTTCTTCTCGTCGAGCGGGTACGTGCACTGGCAAATATAGCGCCTGGACCGGGGATGGCCCGGGGTTCCTTACGCTTATATTTAGACTTTGCTCGTTGGCCTGTTCTCCAATGAGATGGTACTCGCACCGATGGCCCGACGTGAACGCGTGCTTCTGACCTGCAGAGTGTGGTCACGGATGGTAAAGGACAAATGGGCCCAAGCTCGAGGAATCCGAGCGGACAGATGTGCACGCTTGACCCTGGACCTCCGGATCCTGGATCCGGACCAGGTGCCGTGCCCATGCATTATACGTGGCGAGGACATGACTTGTACTGATGCCGGCATCCAGGGACCGCGATGTACAGCGCCAGCAGCGCAGATGGGATACATGGCGACAGTACTTATTACTTCGTACTGGCAAAGAGCGTCAAAACGCTGCTGTTCAATTTTCAAGCGATAGCAACAACAAAAGCACAAAAGCACAAAAACGCCGTGAGATGAAGGCCATGTCCTTGCCAGGATTCGAGCCTGGGTTACCACGGAATTGCGCGCCGAAGCCAGGGCCACAACGTGGTGATCTAACCACTAATCTACAAAGACATGTTCTGATGTGCGGCGGTTGAGCCAAGAGCAACCTGTACATGAACATGTCCACACTAGCTAGCTATAGCAAGGTGAGGACAGCAGATGGACGTTTGAACCTGGACACAGGATATGGACATGCCGCATGCGAGAGTTGTAAGAAAAGAATTCCAGCACTCAAGATCCTATAAAGATGCTCTTGATGTACGAGCGAGACAGGTACTGCAAGTAATAAATGGATTTTGAGTATCGCGGAAGGAATAACCAAAAGGTTGCACCGAATTCACACTGATGTCCTTGCCAGGATTCGAGCCTGGGTTACCACGGGATTGCAGACTGCCGAGGCAGTGGCCACAACGTGGTGATCTAACCACTAATCTACAAAGACGACGTTGTGTGTCCCAGTTTTACGTTATAGAACCAGATATGCCCGTTGGCGAAGGTTCGACGCGGAGTATGTGGCCGCTGCTGCGCCTGCAGGTCTTGCCAGATGCCTCCACGTACGAGTACTATTCACCAGCTAGCAATGCCTCCATGCACTAATGCATAATGCACCACACTCACGCAACGCAACGCCTTCCCCGGCCCGTCCATCGTCCAGCGCACACCATGACCATGACCACGAACCCTTACGAGACAGAAACACGGAGAGGATCACATTGCGCTGCAGGCACCCGCACCCGCACGCTAGCACCTCCGACTCCTAAATCCCACACACTAGCAGCTACGTACCGCGGCAGACTCGGACTCGCGGGTGTCAACGTTGTTACCCGTTCCCGCCTCCCTGCTACGTAGACCGTGCTACGGGGTACAGTTGCAGCGAGTGCCGACTCCGGACGTTCGGACGTCCGCGTGTCCGTCTATCCGTGCTAGCACGAGTCGTGGCTATGGTACGCCCGCGCCTCCTATCTATCCCCCCAGTGCACCGTTGTGGTGTTAACACATGCAGGTACCATGCGCGCAGCCTCTACTCCTATCTGATACAAGGACGCGTACTTGCGAACTAGAATAATATCAGCCTCAGCCAGAGCCTACACACCCGCGCGCACGATTATATGTGTGTGCACACGCGTGCGGACACCAACGCCAACGCCAGCATAAACGTTAACGATCGCCCGCTGATACCCCGCGCCCGCCGCATCGGGCGACAGCAAGACTTGCGTTCGGAAGTCCGAGCGACGTGGTGGCGTGGCTTCTCTTGCCAGCTGTCAAGTTCAAGTGCGTATATAGATACGGACAGCTGCGCGTGGATCGTGCTCGGAAGCTGCCGTTAACATTTGAGGAGAAGCTGGTGCCGTTTTGGGCGTTGGTACTTGGGCCTTAGGGTAAGTGCGAAGCTTCGACGGACCGGGACCGCGCGCGCGGACGGGGTTGACGGTGTCGCTTGACACAGGCACGGCGTAAGCGGGATGTCTGTCGGGCTGTTAGCTGTTAGCTGAAACACCAGGCTGCCAGCACTGCGTAATGGCGATCCGGGAGTAAAAGTGAGTATTTACGCGTACGCTTCGCTTCCCCGCCAGAACTTGAAGAAGTACTTACATGTAACTGGCGTTGGAGCTTTAGCTTCAGCTGCTGTCGGTGTCATGCCGGTATCTCCTCGACTCGCAGCTTCAGTTTCAGTATGACTGGAGGCTACAGCAACATGGAAGAGAAGGCCACCATCGTGGACGTCGACCCTGGCGCACGCACGTGTGCATGGCAGACAGCGCTAGCCTGCAGACGTCGTCATTCTGGATGCTGCTCGTCGGCGCGTGGCTTCTCTTCCACCTGCATCTGGATGTAGGGTCGCCGGATTGGGGAGGCGGGCTGGGTGCGTGGTGAGCTAGAATATTCGTGTTGACTACGCCTGCCGGAAACGGTGCGTCGGGTGCCGTTTTCAGCGGTGCTGCGCGGTGAGCTGGTGACTCTTCGTTCTTCGCTGCAACGGGTTGCCCCGACTGCGTACACGTGTCTTCGCTTTTGCTTTCGAAGGCAGCTCTTGCTCCAATTGCTTGGCCTTCGACTTGCTTGGAATTCCGAAACGAGTACATACTTGCCGGCGGCGTCCCCGTGGAGCTCGAGTCCTTCCGTCTTCTTTGACTCAGACTTGGCACTGGAGTTGGAGTCGAAGGCAGAGTTTTAATAATAATTTACATGCGACTCGGTGCGTCCGTTCTGTTGCCCAATCGAACGTCTGCCCTATAATGAATTTTATTCGATATCCAAGTCGGGCGCGGTATGCCGTATATGCTGGTACTTACGACACTAGTGCTGCGGCATTACGACAAAGCTCGACACAAAAAGCGTGTTGGGATCCCGCTTTGGGTCTGCGTACACTTCTGTCGACCAGGGTCCTACTACTACACCGTGCGCGTGAGCTTTCATGGCACGTTCTGCGCGCGACGGTCGACGTTCGACGTTCCGTACTCCGCGGGGATACCGGGTGCGCGGGTGTGCAGTCTTTGAAGACGTCGGCACACCTTCGACTTCCAGTCTGTACGCGAGTCTTCGAGCCGCACCGGCTACCCATCGACCGAAAGGCCGCACGCAGGCTCTAAATATTGGAAGACGGGGGCAGCGTCGCAACGTGCGACGTGCGATCTACCGCCCAGCCGCAGTGTGTCGCTTCCCACCCAATCTGACACCTCGCACACCCACGAACTCATCTCCGACTCCTCACAAGCTCAAGAAAGCAAATCCTCTTCCACACGCAGCGTCGAACAATGAAGCGTTACGGCAATGCGCGTCCTTCTGCGTTTTGGAAAAGTCAGGAGGACAGGACGAGGACGTCGACGTGGACAAGACAGCTTCCTTGCCCCGGCGTGGCCAGCTGGACGCCGCGCTGCGTGCTTGGCCTGGTAAGCGGTGTGCGATATGCGATATGCGGTGGGCAGTGTGGCATGTGGCATATCCTCTGCGTTACGGTGCACACGGGTGTCGAGTGCGGGCGTAGATGTCGAGGATGCATGGAACCAGGACTCGTGGTTTCAGGTAGGAATAGCGGAATTGCCTTCCGACGAGCTCGAGCTTTAGGTGCGGACGTACGCCACGGCTACTCGTACGTGGTAATGGACATGGTTGGTGCAATTCAAATTCGAATTCCAGCCTGACTTCGGTCTTCCATACTCACAGCGGTGGCTGGCGACTCGCGTGCGGTGTACATGTCACGGTCGTCCTCGACGCCGCTGCGTCCGGAGATGGAGATGGAGATGGAGATGGAGATGGGTGTGCCGTTTTGGTTGGGCAGCGCTCGTGGACGGTGGGGGAGGCCGGGGTTATTTTGCGTGGTCGGGCGCGTTGGGGATTCTGCGTTGTTGATGCGAATGATTATGTGTTCTGCGTGCGGCACAAATTGTGTCTGAAATCCCGAGCTCATCATTGGTATCGATATAGTAACATACCATGCTCTGACAGTTCCCACCTCTGCAGCTATGCAGACGCAGCCCAGCGCCCGCGCGATGTCCGTGTCCATGTCCGTGTCCATGCGTATCAATATCAGTTATAATCATGCTTCCGGGCGGAACGTCGAACGTCGAACGTGAACTCTAGGTTAGAGTTGGGCGCCCCGACATAGCAGACACCCGGCACCCGTACTTAATGTCCTACTGATACTTGGCGGCCGACGCCCTCGCACGCGTGTATCGCCCGGATGTGTTGCTAGTAGGACCGCCCTGCGTCGACGATCGCGACGGATGGAGCCCTGGCTGTCCGTGTCGATTCAGACGTCGCGGTCGGATTGACTAGTGCTGTCGCCAAGCTTTTAATATCGATTTCAGCGCTCGACGCGACACAGCTCGACACGACACGGCACGGAAATGGCGTCTAGGTATAATTAAAAGTTAATGTCGATGTCGAAGGCCTACAGCAGCTCCTGGCGCTGGCATCGGTGTCTACGGCACATGTACTTGTACACGCGACTGTATGTGCTCGTCAGTACCGCACCATGGCCATACTGGATAGCAATCCGGCCTCCCTGAACACCGTACTTACTCGAGTAAGTAGCACAACGTGCATGCATCGACAGCGCTAGCTGCAGGGCCGCACGTTTGTCTTTGTCCCTTTGTCCGGATCCCTTTGAACGCGTGTCTGGCATGCGCCTGTTTCAGGTGTCCGCGTGCTGTGTGCTGTCGAGGGATAAGGAACTAGGACACGGGCACGGGGCGCGAGGCGCGAATCCAGTCCCGCTGCGGCATACTCCATACTGGGTACCGGATATGTCAGTGTCAGTGTCAGTATGGATGTCAGTGGGGATGTCCGTTCTACGCCCGCGCCCGCGCCCGCGCTGGCTATCACCTTGTTCAACGGATCCGGGCGACGGTGATAGTGTCGGAATGCAGTTATAGCAGGGGGAGGATATATAGCGCCCGAGTTCGCGATGGGAAGTTGGCGCCTGTGTCAGGTAGATTCGAGGACAGGGAGCATTATCTGTAGTCTGTTGGTGTCAGTGCCAAAGTGTGCGCTTCGAATTCTTCGCGACATGCGGGCATCACGACGAGCGAGGACCGGTACTGTATGCGTGTAGTTCCTGAGTGTCAAGGGCGGCGCGGGCGGGCGGATGGGCGTCGACGTTCCTGTGGCTCGGTAATTGTGGTCATTTATGCGTTGTGCGTCAGGGTGTTATTTGATTGTTAGTAGGGCGTCAGGACGGAAGCGAGGATAGCGTGATAGACGCGGACGCGGACTCAGCTGCGGCGCGTTCCGTAATAGTGCGGGGAAGGCGAGCGCTGGGAGAAGGAAGTGCAGAACGATGATGATGATCATCAACAGGAGCATCATGGCTTCATGCAAACGCGCGCGGGGTAAGTGCACAGAGGCAGGGATTCACGTAACGCGAGGTGCAGGTGGTGGTGGTGGTGCATCGTAATTACATTATCGCGCAGACTAGCGCGGATGATGCAAGACTGACGTGTGTTGTCGCGCTGTTTGACAGGACGGTGATGGGTGCGTGCGTGCGTGCGATGGACGCGATAACGGACGGGGAGGATGGAGTGGGAGCGGGCGCAGCGTCGTCAAGGCGTTCGGCCGCGGTGCGTGGGCGCGGAATGCGGAATGCGGAGCGTCGACGAAGAAGAGGGCCGGGGCGTGCCTGCGGCGACGGGGCCCGGGGCGGCGGAGAGGATGCCTCGGGCACATGACCAGAGTGCCTGGACGCGACGAGGAGGAGCGAGGGAAAGAGAGTGAGAGAAAGAGAGGAGAGAGAGAAAGGGAGGGGCGAGAGCGGGGAAGAAAGCGGAGGAGAAAGTGGAATAAGGAATGATGAGACGGAATTCGGGACGGGAGATCGGGACGAGGAATCGAACGTGGTCGGCTGGCGTCGGTGAGAGCTTGAGCAGGCCCGCCTCTGGCCTCAGGAGCTGTCCATTCCTCCCCACCACCATAACCCATAATACCCTATCCTCATGGCCACCG